TAAAAATGTATGGAGTAAAAAAACCAAATTACATATGTACAGTATGCTACCATTCATGCAAAATTTAAAAATATGCAAAATGATTCTTTATGTTGTCTAGGAAAATTTACATATGTATAAAAGTATAAAGATATGCTTCAGGGTGATAACCTTTCACTTCAGAATCAGGGTTCCCTCTGGTGAGGGGTTGGAGAGAAGTGCATTTGGGAGGGGTACACAAGAAACTACAACTATGCTTGTAATAGTTAATTTTTTAAGCTAGGTGGCAGCCCCAAAGGCATTCTATATTGTTAGTCATACAATTTTGTATATTTAAAAACATTTAATAGTAAATGAATAAAAATTAAGTGTTACAATAAAAAAAAAAAAATTGCTTTGTGTAATCTTCGCATTTCCCATTCCTGGTGAAAGCAAGAGCGGCGTGCCAATCACCCTGTGTTTCCGGTGTAGGGAGCAGAGCCCTAAAGCGCTTCCTGCCTCGTTGACTTCTTCAGCTCTTGTTTGCTGCTCTGTGAGCCCATGGGCTGGACCAGGCAGCTGTGAGTTACCTCCCGGGTCATGATTTCACTCTTCGTACATGAGAAAATGCATTTGTACAGCAAATGCCTCAAGAACAACATCTGTGTTTATCCAAGTCTGTGTTCCTGTATGCCAGGCCCATAGTAGGTGCTCGATAAATGTTTGCCAAGTGACTGACATAATCTGATATGATGGTGCCAAATAGCACCAGGCAGCTGCTCTGGGGACTCCCATCACTGACAACTGGATGTGGCCAGAGTCTGACTAGGCTGATTTTCCAGAGAAGACATTTCAGAAATCAGAAGGTAAAGATCATCACTACTTTGGTAACTTTGCCCTCCTAGATAGATTTTACAGATGTCGGGTTACGTTTAATGTTTCTGGGTGTATAAAAAGCTCATATTCAGTTTCCAAACCATAAGTCTTGAAGCTTCTCTCCCCGAGTTTTGATGATTTGGCCATTATGATAAAATCTCTGGCCCCTTGTTAACATCAATATTGATTAGCTGAGATTTTAAACACCTGACTAGGAATTACCTCCACCCCCATCATGACTGCTCACGAGGTGTTAAGACATCTTGGAGTGTGGACGGGGCCACTTCTTGGCCCTTCTTGGCCACTTCGGGCCGTTCCACCGTTTGACTCTTCCACTGGCTGCTACAACCTGCAGAGGGGCCAGGACTGTGTCTTCACACCCCAGAGATTTAAAAATAGGTTCTGTGCTTAGGAAGGAGCTGTCACCAAGTCCATGCACTCAATTCCACAAGTGAGACTAGGGCCATCCTCAAGCCTTGTCAGAATCTATAGATTTAGATTGCCCATAAAACAGTTCTAAACTCCAGCTGCGTATCAGCATCAGCTGGAAGTCTTGGACCTCCTCTGACTAATTAGTTCAGAATATCGGAGCTTGGGAGGCAGCATGGGGATTAAGTAGATGCCCGGGTGCCTGTAATGCACATCCAGGCAGAGTTGAAACCCACTGCTGTAAAGAAAGGCTGAAAGTTCAACCACTTCCTAGAAAAGAGTAGATTAGAAACAGCAGCTTAGAAGATGGAAGGAGAAATGGTAAGAAGTAGGTGTACCAAGTATATCAAGAAGTGACAGGAAAGAGAGAAGAATGATGGAAATCAAAGAGAATTTTAAAAATACCTTTGTCTTAGGCCATTAAATATAGGGGAGCCACCCTCTTCTCCATGCTCCATGGCATGTCGGACAGGCCTCAGCAGAGCACTTGCCACATTGAATCGTGTCCACTTTCTTTATCTTAATTTTAGATCGTGAGCTCCTGGTGGGAAGGGACAAGGTTTGACTCGTCTTTCCTCTTTCTTCTGCCTGGCATCGCATTAGGACAAAGAAGGAGGTGATGCAATGTCTGTAGAGTGAGGGAAACAATGAACAGGACTTCCCCTCATGGATGCCCCTGAGGACATTACTGTTTCAAAAAAGACAATAAATGTGCTTTGCCAACTGGACAGAACTTTAAAATGACAGGGCTTTTTATGGCCCTCAGTCACTCATTCTAAGATGTTTACTTGGCACTTACTCTGAGTGCTAGACGCCAAACAGTGCTTTTAGGAGGATACAGAGCTGAAGACACATAGGATGCAGACACGTGGAGACAAGGCCACTGAGGTTCCGAGATGGAAAAGCATGGGGCATGTTTCAGAACCAAGGAGACGAACTAAAGGTCAGGGTGCAGGTGATGGGCACAAAGCTGAAATACGGAAGAAGCAAAATGCTGCTCCATGTACTCCTTTGAAGGAGGCAGACAAGGTGCAACAACCAATAGAAAGATTTCCTTCCCTAATGATTACACTTTTTCAAAATCTGCTCTCAGGGCTGATATTCTACATTCTGGGAATTGCATTCATGGTAAATCTTATTCCCATAATTCTGGATAAGCGAGACATTGTTAGAGCTATTCTTCCCACCAAACTCCTTCCTCCCTTCCCCTCAGTCCTCCAAATTCAGCAAGGTGGGGCAAGCGGAAGAGCTTTCCTTTTCCTAATAAGCAGCACCTACAATCCCCAGATCCCTCACCACTCTCAGCTGGGCTCCTGAACCATGAAGGCTCCTGCCCCCAAACTCGCTCTGATTTCCTAAACAACAGGCTTCTACTAGAAATCAAAGCTTTTCCTAAATCTTCCCAGAGCCTTCATGTCCCAAAGTAAGGACCCCAGTTTTCGGCCGTGGCTGTAAGTTGGTCCCCACTTCCAGAAGTTCTCCAAGACTACAGGAAAACATCTGGGGAGCAGAGGGATCTAGGCCAGGAGTGACTGGAATTGGATTTCAATCCTCACTTTCAACCTGCTGAGTTCTTCCTGAACATAAGATCTTTATGTGAAAGATATCTGAAGACAGGCGATCACTGGGGTATTTTACTGAAAAACCACACCACTATTTCCTGGTCTAAAATGCACAGATTACTGAAAATAGCCCTCTAATAAATGGAGAAGTTTTGCTCTCCATGGTTCAGTGCACTTAAATATAGAGTCTCGCCAGATCCCCAGAGTAGGGGCTGTTTCCCCCATTTTATAGATGGGACACTGAGATGGAGGAGTCATAAGAGCTGGCGAGGGTCCCAATGAAATGATGACAAAGCAAGTCCAAGATCCCAGAGTCAGGGCCGGCCTGGTGGCGTAGCAGTTAAGTTCGCGCCCTCCGCTTCAGCGGCCCGGAGTTCGTCGGCTCTGATCCTGGGCGTGGACCTACTCACAGCCCATTAAGCCATGCTGAGGCGGTGTCCCACATAGAGCAACTAGCAGGACCTACAATTAGGATATACAGCTATGTACTGGGAATTTGGGGAGAAAAAAGAGAAAGGGGAAGATTGGCAACAGATGTTAGCTCAGGGCCAATCTTCCTCAGGGGGAAAAAAAAACAAGATCCCAGTGTCCTAGATGTTCCACGGAAGAACCTTGTGTCACCTACAGTTCACCTCTGTCGCCAGTTCATGGCACATGAGTAACGTTATGTACTTATGGAGTCCAGACACACAGCTGGAGTTTCACTGAGCAGTGACGGCACCCACAGTGGGTTTAAAGCACTCTGTGTCTTCAAAGAATATACACATTAGAGGGGGAGAGAAAAGTACCCAAATAACCATCCTATAGAGCAGAACCTATTAAAGGTTCCATGAGACCTCAAAGTGTAGGCCCCTGAGGAGAGTGAGAGCCCACATTCCATCACATGGAGCAGAGAGGGCTAACGAAAGCTCAGAAGTCTTGGAAGCAGGACTTGAGGATGGATCTGATACTTATTTAAAAAAGAATAACAAGAGTGTTTAAGAAAATTTGATATCGAAAAAAGTCATTCATAATCCCACTTCCCATTGCAGTGGAGTATCCATTCCAGATTGGTCCAAACTCACCACTGGGACTCAGACATATTCGGGCATGTCTGGAGAGATGTAGGCAGGCCACCAGGGGGCTTCTTGCAGAGCATCAGACATGACATGCTGGATCAATAACAAAGCCAGGGTGGTCAGAATGATGAGTCTGCCATGGCACCCTTCCTTTGGATTGAGTCCCAGTCCAGCCTGCCATGGATACCTATTTAAGCAGCAAAGAGCAGTTTCATTAAAATCACATGTCCATAGCTCTGCAGAGAACACAAAGTTTCTAGCAACAGAGATGGAGGACCCAAGGGCTGACTCTTGAGGTCTTTGGCTCAAGTGACTAGTCAACACCACTTACTAAGACCCAGCACTCAGGAGGAGAAGCTCTGGGGAGAAACACATTCAGGTGTGGACATCATGGGAGTTCCTGGGAACAAAGCATCAGGTGGCATTCTGCAAGGGCAGAGGGATGTGAGCTGGGGCCCAGGCAAAAGCTCCTGCCTCTCCTGGGAGCCAACATTGAAGCTGCACAGTGGGTGCTGGTGGAAGGAACTAGAATGTGTAGAGAGGGAACTGGAGGACACCCAGACGAGTTCCCTTCAAGGGCAGAGGAGAAGAGACTTCACAGCGTTTGGGAGAGGAGCTGGTAAGACAGAGACCAAGGGTGCAGTGAGGCCTAAGGACGAGGTGAGGCAGGTTGAAAGCAGCAAGATGGCAAAGAGGAGGAGGGGCAGGAGAGCCAGGGGAAGGTCACCCATGCCCTCCACAGGAAGAGCCAGGATTCGAACTTGGGTCTGCTGGCCCCAGACCCAGGGGTCTCCCACTGGCCTCATCACACTGGACCATGCGGATCCATGAATGGCCCTCTTGTCGGATGCAGGCGGGCTGGCTGGAGCTGCATCATCCCAGACACAGAATGACGATTAACAGTTACCAGAACAGAAAGAGTCTGGTGTCATACGGAAGCTTTCTTCCTTCTTCCAACAGGAGCTGCAGGCCCTCTGGGGGCTTCAGCGACTGCTTCTGCAGCAGAGTCTTTACATTAAACAAATAAATACTGCTTACCTCCTCTGGCGGAGTTCTTGGTGGTGCCTCCTCGGCGGTGAGCTGAGCTGGTGGCCAGGGGGCTGCTGGAAACCTCATTTCATGAGCTGCAGATGGCAAATAAACATTAGAAGGGATGCTCAGCCTTTCTAGTGATTATAGAAATGCAACTTAAAACCAGCACGAGACATTGTGTTTTCCCTAGCAGATTGACAAAAATGAAGAAGCTTGATGAAACCCCACAATAGCAGGGACGTGTCACGTGGACACGTACACACTCTAAGTGGAAGATAACTAGTGGAGGGTACGATCTTTTGGGAGGGCACCATCTATCAGAAATGTAAACGCACTTACCCTTTGCTCTAGCAATTCCACCTTCAGGCATCTGTCCTAGAGAATGTTCATTGCAACCTGTAAAGTTAAAAATTCAGAGAGCAACTACACGTTCATCAGCAGAGCACGGTTTAAACGTACTGTAGTATATCCCTACTGTTGTATGTGGCTGTTGAGGAGAATGAGGCAGGTCTCCATGCTGACATGAAACAAAGTGCCAGGATTTATGTTGAAGTGGAAAGGGCTAGGTGAAGTTGTGAGACAATATGTGTGATATGACTCATTATTGTTTCTATAACGAAATATATTTGTGTGCCTATAGAAACAGTACCGGGAAGAGACACGCCAATCACCAATCAGTTGATACTGGTTACTCCTTGAGAGGAGCATGAGAGAAGGGAAGGAAAGGAGGGTGACTCTTTAACTTCACGTACTTTCGTGCTGTTGGCATTTTTACAACCAGGCTGTGGGATTTAATGTCTAGAAGACGGCATTCCACTTTCCTTGGACAGAAAAATCCCAGCCTGCTCATCTTCCCCAAGGCTGCCAGCTCAGGACTGGTAACCATGGTCACCTGAGGCCTGGAGACTCCAGGAGGACACATAGTAGGGCCATTCCTAGGCAACAGCTATCATCCCCATTATTATCCCTGATGTATTAAGGGCAAGTCAACCTTTGGCAGTTTAGAGCTGCTCACAGCTACCTGGGCAAAGGTAGTCTTGCTTCTCTCACACCCTGTCTGCCTGCCCAGGTGAAGAAGGGAGGCAGCCTGCAGGAGCTGCATTTCTGGAGGCATGAGATGCTAGTGAGGGAGCAAAGTGACTCCTGGGGTGTGCCTCTTCCTATAGGAAACAGCATGGGGACAGGCATTCGGGACCAGGGGCACATGCACACTCTCTCACACATTTCAGTCAAGGCTGACCATCAGCTTCATTCTTGTGGTCCAGTCCAGCCCTGGGACTGGCAAAGCTAGGGGCATTCCAGGCTCTGAACCTTGAAGCTCAGGCTTCCTGCTCCGGGTTCTATCCAACATAGCTCAGACTCACACTGAAAAAACATGGCCAACAATTCTTGAGTGCTTTTTCTGTATCAAGCACACTTCTGAGTCCTTGCTACAAACCATGGGCAGTGGACCAGCAGCATCAGCATCACCCAGGAGCTTATTAGGGATGTAGCCTCTCAGTCCCCACCAGCTGAATCAGAAGCTGCATTTTAACAGGACACAAGCAATTCATGTGACATTGAAGCACTGTCCTGAGCAGCTGAATCTATTCATTCACTGTCCTGTCCTGACTTGAGAAGCACTGTCCTTAGTAGCTGAATCTATTCATTCAGTTAATTCCTCAACAACTCTCTGAATCCCATCATTATCATCCTCATTTTGCATCTGAAGGTTAAGTAACTTGTCTTAGGTCACACGGCTAGTAATTCCTATAGGTGGGGTTCTGCCTGTAGGACCAGCACTATCAGCCACCGCAGCACAATGCTGACTGCGAAGATCCTGGAGAACAGCTTAACTTTATATCTGTCCAAATGGCAGAGGGCTTAGGACACTAGTGAGGAATAAAGTCAACTTTGCCAAGACTGGACTGATCCCCAAATTACAGAACTGGAGAACAAAGTAGCAGTTGCCAGGGGCTAGGGAGGGAGCTGGGTCAGGGTGGGGTCATTGTGGTGACGGAACTGTTCCCTATCTCGATTGTACCATCATCAATATCCTGGTTATGATAATTTTCTATGGTTTTGCAAGATGTTATCATTGTGGGAAACTGGGTTAACCAGGCAGAGGATCTCTCTGTTTTATTTCTTACAACAGCATTTGAATCTCAAAAAGTTTTTAATTAAAAAAAACCAAACGCCTTCTCCAGAGCTAAAATTTCCCCAGCTTAGGACCTCGCTAAATGAGCCAAAGTTAAATTTTATGCATATGGACCAGAAGTGCTGTTCTGATTAAAATATGCACAATTAAAGGCCTGGGGAGTAGGGGGGAGGTGACCAATACCAAGTGCAGCTATGTAACGAAACCATTTGTGCCTCAATACTTAATTCTCCTTAGTTCCAGAATGCCAGCTTACAACACACACACACACACACACACACACACACACGTGCCTCCCAAAAACACAGCCTGTCTGTGGGTCATTTAGAAGGAAATAATCTCATAAGGCAGTATTGATGGAAAAGAACAAAACATGAGGGCTCCAAAGTGGGAAAACATTCTTGGCTTGCAGCAGGACGAGAAGAGCATCCTCTTGGCTGGAGTTGACTTTTAAGAGCAAAGAGCCAAACCAGAATCCTGCTCTTCACAGAATGTCTTAGGAAGGGAATTATCTGGTTGTTAGATGGGTGCAGATATGGTAATGTCAATTAACAGTCTGCAAAAATACGTGGCCAACGATGAACCCCAAAGCTCTGTCTGTGTGTGTGTGTGATTGTGTGTATTACATACTTCTTTTCTTTTTTTTTTGGTGAGGAAGATCAGCCCTGAGCTAACATCCTGCTGAATCCTCCTCTTTTTTGCTGAGGAAGGCGGCTCTGAGCTAACATCTATTATCAATCCTCCTCTTTTTTTTTTTTCCCCCCCAAAGCCCCCAGTAGATAGTTGTATGTCATAGTTGCACATCCTTTTAGTTGCTGTATGTGGGATGCGGCCTCAGCATGGCCGGATAAGCGGTGCGTTGGTGCGCGCCCGGGATCCGAACCCGGGCCGCTAGTAGCAGAGCGCGCGCACTTAACCGCTAAGCCACGGGGCCAGCCCTATCGCATACTTCTGATTGAAGCTAATGGTTGGTTCAGGTAACCTGAATTAGGCGTTTTTGTAAAAGGCTAGAAGGTTCTACAGGGAGGAGAGGGCTTCCCTGGAGATTGGTTCATCAGGCTAACGCATCCAGCTGGCTGTTGCCTACGGCAGCCTGCTTGTGGCTGCAGCCGGCTGGTAGGTGTTGCTAACACTCCTTCCTAGGGAGTCCAGACCAGACACACAGGCAGCAGCTCTTCGTTCAGAGCACAGTAGGGGCTGCTGGGCTGCAGGGAGCTCTGTAAAATGACGATCAAGAGAGCCCACTTGGGGACTCCCTCCTCCCAGTCACTCTGCACGCCAATCTGTGATGGACGCTTCCCATGCTGACCACTGCCAGAAGCCAGCACCTGGAGTGTCACAGACACCCCAACACAGACACCCACATGTGAGGCCCCAGGAAGCCACACGTGGCTCTCATGCCGGGTGGCAACTGAGAGGACAGTCCTTTGTGTGGGTGGTCATTCCCCAGGCACCCAGGGAGAGGCCCTGCTCAGCCACGCCTGGGGACACTGGTCTTTGTGCACTGGTGGCCAGGAGGCCAGTATCAGCCTTTCTTTCCACCTCTTCTCTTTCTATTTATATGTCTCCTTTTTCTTCATATCTCATGGGAAGATGTTGTTTAGGTGAAGATTTTATTAATTCCATCTCCACTGGATTTGCTCAAGATTTTATTAATTCCATCCCCTTCACTGGAAGCATACAGAAGACTGGTTGATATGCTCCCATTGAGATCTTCCATAGCCACCATCTAGTCTTCACAGGGGACTTAAACTCCACCCCAATGGCCTGATGCTGGTCCTCCATGGAAACATGCCCACAGCACGAGGCACTGCTCAGCCTCTGTCTTGAATCATTTGTCCTGTCCCAGAGCAGAGCAGTCCACTTCCCAATTCATTTTTTTTTAATTTAATTTTATTTATTTTTTTTCCCCCAAAGCCCCAGTAGATAGTTGTATATCATAGTTGCACTATGCATAGGATGCATAGTTGCATCCTTCTAGTTGCTGTATGTGGGACGTGGCCTCAGCACGGCCGGAGAAGCCGTGTGTCGGGCGTGCCTGGGATCCGAACCCAAGTCGCCAGTAGCAGAGCGCACGCACTTAACCGCTAAGCCATGGGGCCGGCCCCCAATTCATTTCTAATCCTTCCAGCACAGGACCTCCTGCCTTCCCTTCCTGCTCACTCTCTTGTTGCAGTCCACTTGAACGTAAACCAGAGGGCAGGGATGTCAATCTGGTTTGCTCATCACTCTTCTCAGCACATGGCCCCTGGTACAGAGCATCTACTCAATAAACATTTCTTATAAAACTAACAGTCTAAGACTGAATCTCAGAGCTGAGGCTTGGTCCTGCTTCTCTGGCTTGTAGCTTCTTTGATCATAACTTGTATGACCCACTGGCCATTCTGGAGAAATTCCTCTCTTTCTCCAGAGCCCTAGGACCTCATCTCTTCTCAGCCTATGCCCTCCCACGTTCACCCCAGATCATGGAGCAGGAACAGCCCAGGGCTAAGTACACACAAGCTGAAGCTTGTCTGAAAGCTGTCTGTCTCCAAGGCCTGGGTAAGAACCAAGGCCTTTGATCAAGTTGCTAAAGACCAGGAGGGGCAGACATGGAGCCCTAATGCTGAGGGCGGTTGAGAGATGGTGGGTGAGAAATTCAAGGCTGAGACTTTCTGGAATAAGCACCAAGGAGAGAAAGACCAGAACTCAGAGCTACACCCCCAGTACCCACAGAGCCCAAGGCTAGGTGAAACAATATCCCAACACTATCCTCTGTATACACAAAGGACAAGGAGCTGATGGGTGGTTTTCTTTACCCCATAGCTCATGCTCTGATTTTGGCAGCCATGTGCCATAAAAATGTGAGCGAGTTTGCATTTCACAAACATTTGACTTTCACAAGTCTTACATTTCCCACAGAGAGCCCTGCTCCATCAGCATTCCAAGAAATATCTTTCATCGAATCTGGGTCTCAGCTTGGTCTCCACAGTAGAAGAGCAAACTGAAAGGAAAAGTCACGCGTTTGCATGTTGGCTTCCAAACTTTACCTAGCCCTGGTCACATGCTCATATGACATAGTTTTGCTTAGAACTAAACAGTGAGAGAACTAAATAACAGAATTGGTCAATGGAAGAAAAGTGGCTAGTCTCAGCATCACCTTTGCAACACTCATGCTCTAAAAAGGGCATCCACCACCAAAATTAGTCCAGATGCCCACTGAGGAGGAGTTACACTGGACCCTCCTGGAGGGGGGAGTGCGGACAGATGTTTGAGGGACAGGAAAGTTGCTGGCCCTGAAATGCAG